CGATATCTCTAATGATCAACAGTTCAAAATATCGAATGTTCAATATATCTGTCACATTGATGTACAATACATGTAAATAATAAGTTCAAAAATAGTTAACCAATAAAAAATAAAAATAAATATTATCCAATAAAATATACTATACAAATGTTCAATAAAAATAAATATAAAAATTGTCCAATAATATATAACTAACAAAATAAACTATAACAATATCATTCAATTAAATTTATAATATGAATTAATCAATAAAGTAAGAACTAAATATTCATATCATAATAATATTATAAGATAATACTATTGTATTATAATAATTCACAACACTTAAAATTTGAAAAGTAATAAAAAAATTTGATTTATGACAGTATGAGAAAGACAAAATGTAGAGATCTATCTATAAGAAGTGCAAAGAGAATAAAAACTTTATAATATCACATGATCCATATTACAGAATAAATAACTTTATAATATCACATGATTCATATTACAAGATGATCAGTGTGGCGTTACTTGAGTCATGGGACTGCTCCGCTTTACAAAAAATCGCCTAACCAAAATGGATTGGGTTTTTGACTTGTGGGATATTAATAACTATAAACATTCAGTATCAAAGTATATAAAATTACCCCCAGCACTCTTCCAACAACGCGAACTGTAGGACCCAAATATGCATTCATTATTGCATAAGAAATAGATGGCACTGTTTTCTGGTTTGTATATGAGCGAGAATGCTGTCATGAAAGTCTCGAAATATTAGAGAAGTATTAACGAATGTTAATATTGAATCAGGAAATTCTGAACATCGATTCAATTTACAACAATTAGATAATCAATTAAAAGGATGTGAATATTATACGGTAACTACTTGGATAAATATTATTAGTTTGTGTTTTTATTTGAAATAGTTTAATTTATAATTTACATGCTAGAAATTGAAATTAACTGAACCCGGAAGACAACTTATATATAAAGGCACAATGAAGAAAAGATATTGTGCGGGAGAATCATCTGATCTTCAAGTTTTCTTGTTTGATCATGTTTTATTAATGGTGAAAACAAAAGAAGTTGATAAAATAGAGCAATATAAAATCTATCGAAAGGTAATTCATTATAAAAATAAATATTATTGTTTTATCAAGATTTATTTATTATTATGTATAAATTTTCCTGGCAGCCGATTCCTCTAGAATTGCTTGCTACATCAATAACTGAAAATATTCAAAATATTTCCAAACCGACTTCGATTTTTCTAGCCAAAGCTCCCGCTATCGTAAACAATATTCGTGATAAGCAATATGCATTGACCTTTACCTGCATAGGGAAGAAAGGATTTTCAGCTACATTATATGCGTCTACAATTATAAGTCGTAATAAGTGGATAGAACATATTGAAAAGCAACAACAGTTTTTGCTTGATCGAACTCAAGTTTTTGAGAAAACCACTTTTTTAGAGGGAAAATATTTCGTTGGCACAAATAAAGTTAACTGTATTGCTTTTTTTGGTAAGTTATTTTCTATATTTTTACATTTTGATCTTGAACTTTTTTAATTAACTTATTGCTTGATTTTTGATAGATGATTATCAAAAATTGGCACTTGGTACAGAGGAAGGTGTTTATGTTGCAGATATTGGACAAAATCCAAAACAGCCTATTCAGGTTTTGCATTTAGAAAAAGTATCTCAAATTGCGGTACTAGAAGAGTTTCGATTACTTTTAATTTTGGCTGGTAAAGTTTTCCTCAAGTAGATAACATTATAAGATGCATTTTATTATTATATTATGGTCTGATCAAAATTTTTACATGTGATATTTCCTTATGAATAGATAAAATATTCTATTGGCTTCCAGTTGAAGCTTTGGACCTTGAAGATACAAATAGTTCTAATAAGAAACCGCGTAAGATCACTTCGAATACAAGTTTCTTCAAATATGGAGTATGCTTAGGTAAAACATTAATCGCAGTGGTTATAACTGCCGGTTTGACGCAATCAATTATAAGGACATTTGAACCAATTGAAAGCATCAAGAGTAAAATGAAAGGTTCCATATTAAATGAAGCTCTTAAAGCATATAAGGTGTATATTTTTTTTTATATTTATCTGATTCTATAGCTAGTGTTGTATCTGTAATTGATATATCAAATGAAATAATTTTTACAGGACTTCTGTATACCCCGTAAATCAATATCAATCCATTTTTTGAAAAAGAGTCTCTGTGTGGGATGTACAAAAGGATTTGAGATTATAAATATGGAAACTCTTGCAACCCAAACTCTATTAGATCCTGCTGATGCTACTCTCGATTTTGTTCAAAAGAGAGAAAATGTCAAACCAATTGCGTTATTTAGAATTCCTAATAGTCGTGGTGATCACTTGTTATGTTATGATGGTAAACATATTTTTTCAAGATTATTTCTTTTTGTTGGTTTTATATATAATTTTTATGATTTCAAACTACTATAATTTTTAGAATTTGCTTTTTATGTAAATAAAGTGGGATGGCGATCTCGACATGACTGGCATATTACTTGGGAAGGCGCGCCGACTTCTTTTGGTAAATATAAAAATCAAATAATTAAAAATTAATATCTATTAACACTTTCTTTTTTATCTTTTGATAGCTTTTCGAGAACCCTATCTACTAGCTTTTGAACCATCATTTATCGAAATTCGAAATGTGAAAACAGGTTTATTGGAACAAATAATTAAAGGTCACAATTTACGTTGTTTATGTTCTGATAATCGAGGCAATATTTTAGTTGCGACAAATGTTCCCACAAGTGGTTGCTCTGAAGTTTTTTCATTAAATTTGGCCGATGGTCGAAGAAGTTCACTACTTTCTGATGCTATTAGTATTGCAACCACAATCGTTGCACCCGAAGAAAGCGGAAATAATGGTAAATCGGACTCTGCAGAATGAGTATAAATAATCTTTTGCAGTGGAGAATTTTATTATTATTACTATTATTAGTATTCCTTCATATTTTTATTATTTATTCATTTATTTGTTTGTTTGTTTTACCGTATAAAAGATATTTATTAAAAATACGAAACTTATCGCAGTCCTTTTAATCAAGCAGGAAGTCAAATTGGATGACTAGAGGGATTCGTTTGTATATAAAATCAAAAATTCAAGAAATATTGTAATTTGTCATACAGAATACCCGAGTACGTTAAAGTAGGGACGAATTTGTGAATTTATGCGTTTTACATTGCATAATTCTGGTTATAAATCATTTTTAATAAATAAAATAATAATTATTATAATTATAAATAATAATTATTTATAAAGTTATAGTATAGTCTCATTCTACGTGTACTAAAGCTAATATACATAAGATGTAAAAAGGCTATACAGATATTACGTGAATTATCCTTGTTACATTAAAAACGAAAGATACAACTAATCACCATGAATCTGTCTAAAACTAAGTTATCTATCAGACTGTTGCTTAAGGTTTTCAGTCTGATAGCTTTGTCTGTATTGGTATTATCAATAATAGTGATGCATATTGCTCTAGAACATAAATCTTCGTATTGATTGAGTGTACATAGATCATATTAATATAAGTTTGGACTATTGTAAATATACCTGATTGTATAATAAATTGAAGTATTGAGTTAACCAGAGGAATGATCTCGTTGATTGTGTGAGTATTTTTGATGTTTTGCTTTTTTTATAATATTAAGAAATTTTTTGTATGTGATCTGAATTTTTTTTCTTACTGTATTTGAGATTCAGAAAATGAGTTTGGAGCTAATTCTTTTGGTGATATTTGAATCATTGATAATAGAACAAACAAAACTGATGAATTCAAAAGAAACAATATCTTGAAAAATATCGATTAAGTTAGATTTTTTTTCGATAGTGATATTACTGCGATAGCTAATACTAAAAGAATCTGTATTGGTTGTGAAAATGAAAATTTGAATAATGATGAAGTCAAAGTCATCAACAGTAAAGAAATTCAAGTGTTGTTTAAATAAGAAAATGAGTTTGAGAAAAATTTTCTGAATAATTTTGTTGATTGCTATTTCACTTTTAGGGTATGTTCAAATGTGAGTGAAAGTTTCAGGTTCTTGATAACATCAATTACAAATGTTGGAGTTGTAAATATAAAACATCCTGAAAAATAAGAACATCATAGTGGGAAGTGATTGATTGTTGCATTTTATGAAGAATGTTCTATATTATAAGACTTTTGAGTCTGTGCAATTACTGTTAATATCACTATCTTGATTCCATACTAGTTGAGTAACCTGCCAGTTCGCAGTATAAATGAATTCTAAGTTAAGATTGTTCATTTTAGTACGATATTATTATCGGACTATTTGTCTTTTTTTATGTTATAGTTTTTGAGATTGAAATCAATAGGTGTTGAATTTAAAAATATTGATATAAATTTGATTTGAGGTGAGTTGTGATAATTGATTATAACAGGATGACTGTTATGACCTATATTGGCGAGTTTGTTTATCTTACCATTTTCTGGATTGCTGAAGTAACCTTTGACCTTGCTCAGTTTGATTTTTAAATTCTTTTTGAGATATTGTAATACAAGATGTTCCAGAGTAATCAATTTGTTTTCTGAAGAAGTTTGTGATTAGATTAGTTATGATAATTAATAATGTTATTAGTAAATTCATCGATAATTGATTAACTATCAGTGTAAATTGTAATATTTTGGTGTGATACTAGTAGTTCTGCAATAGTTATGATAGTAAAAAATTCTATTTTGATTATTGATAAAGTGTTATTAATTGAAAATGAGAGGTTGATGAGAGGAGATCAGATAATTCATCCAAACTAGAGATGGTGCAGCAAGTATGTGATGCTTATTTGTCACCTGTTGCAACATGTTGCAACTCCAAAATTTTATAAGCTGTAACTAGTTGCAACTAGGTGATGCTTTATTTGTCACCACGTTGCAATAGTTACCGTGCCATCTTTAATCTAAACCCAGTCATAACTGACTCATTATAATATTTAATGAATTCATCTGAGTAAAAGATATTGTAATGTTATCATTTTTACAAAAAAATCTGTAATTACTTAATTATTGATCAACAAAAATTAAGATATATTACAAAAAATATTAATGTTATATCATGTAACTCAATGATGATTAAATTAATTTGTCTCTTTATTTTGATATTGTATTCCATTATACAATTATATTTAGTGTATATTGTTGTATAATGGAATTTCATATTAATTATTAGTCAAAATTATTATTTAATCTTATTGGATAATTTTAAGAACATATATTTATATTTTAATTAGTTAAGATCTTTATATTTACATTTTGTATTACATTATTTTTTTTTATTGCTGAAGTGTAGTCTTGTTTACAATAATATCTAATCTAGTATACATAATACGAAGAATAAGAAATAAAATACTATAAACTACCAAAAATCTACATTGAAAGAATTCAGTACGACTAGCCACCAGTGACCTGTCGAAGCTTACACAGAGTCCAGAGAATTCATCAAATTGTCACTGAAGGTTTTCAATTTGATAATGTTGATAATATTTATATTGCTATAGAGAATGGATGTGAAGGATTTAGGACAATTGCCATTATTATATTCTTCTGATAGAAATTTGCATATGCAAAGATTTGGATTGGAGTAGCATTTGTTAAATGAGATGTATGAGGATAAGCTATGTTGTGGATATTCTTTGTTTTTGGCATGAGAGTTTGATTTTTTTTGCTTTTTGTAAATGTAACGTGATTTGTCAAGTTGAATTTGGATCTTGCATCTGTTATTCCAGATTTGAGTTTTTGTTTGCATGGCGAACCAGAAAATTATTTTGTATGATATTGTAATAGCTTCTTAATGTGATAATCCAAGAGATTTAATGAAAATCAATAATGATATAGGAATGATGTCATAGATAATGTGAATAATGTGTAAAGAATTTGGTTGGAATTGGTAAGTTGATGAGTAGTTTGAGCAAAAAGAGGATTTTGAGCAAAAAGAGGATTTTGAGCAAAAGTTTTTGCTAGAAGATTTGTAAAAATCTTTGTTTTTGTGATCTAATTTCACTTTTTTTAATGTTTTGAAGATGAGAGAGCCGAGTTTGGTAATGTCATGATATGACATTTGATGAACAATCTTATTGGATAAGATCTATATTAATTATTATTGGATTATATATATTAGTATTTCTATTGAATAGTTATTTTTAGATAGTTATTATTTTATTGGACAATTATATGTTAGATATTATTGGT